TGACAGCCATCCCATGGTCCATAGGATTCAATGAGGGATGGCTTTCGAATCTGTACCAGAGTCAACCGGCTTGAGTGAGACTTGGATAACAGAGATAATAGACTTGCGATCGATCGATTCGAATATCTAAAACAACTCACCTGTTGACGGCCAAGATCTGACTGCCTTCCTGTGGTCCATAGAAATTCAATGAGGGATGGCTTTCGAATCTGCACCTTCAATAACACTCTTGATTATAGGTATGCTTACCTCCGTACCAGTCGTTCGATCGATCGATCGATCGATCGATCAATTCAACACCGCTCTTGTCGGCCAAGCTCGGATTTCTCTCCTGTTTGCCATAGCAATTCAATGAGGGAGAGAAGTCGGTGCTGCACCTTCAATGATGGACTTGAACGGTACGAGTATTGGATACCGTACAGTACCGGTACATGTACACGCAATCAGTTTATCCTTAACCTTAGTAACTTCAACGGTTCTTTTTATCCACGAATCGATCTAAATGTGTGTACAGACGTTAAACACCGTTAACTACAGGTTTCGTACTTAAGGATACACATGACCGTTGATTCTGCAACTGAAGTGCGGGTACACTAATGTACACAGTAAACGCGAGCCAATCGATTTCAGAGTGCATCTGAGGGGGTAACCTAAAGGAGCGTCGTCTCACAGGAGACGTAATTCACAGAAAAGGATGATTTTCGTTAGAGTTGGGGATTGCGGTGGTGTTTCTTTCGCGTACCGCGTATGTGTGTCACATGGATAGGAATGAAATCTTGATACGTACGCCTAAATAAATCGACGAAAATAAATGTGTTTCGCGAATGCACGGAGGACACACATGGAGTTTGGATAGGACCTCGCCTGATCATGGGAACTTTAGAAGAAACAACTTCTGTTGTTGAGGTTGCTTTGTCTGTGGGTCGAATCGACTAACAACTTAGTGGGATTGAGGTTAAGTTAGACTTGGAAAGGCGAGGCACATCACAAACACCGTCACTACCACAGCCGCCACAATGACAACAGCGTCGCAACGTATAGTAGACATGGCAGCGACGCCACTGCCGGACCCCCAATTATTTTTTTGTCGGCTTGCGGCGAACACAAACTTTCACCCGAGGCTGCGATAACGCGTTCCTTTGTGTGTGTCCTCCCGTCGGGGGTTTGATAATTTCTGTCTTGAACTTTGCCAATCCTTTCTCCTGCAATCCCGGTGAGACACAATCAGAACTGTCCAGTTGTCGCCGCTGATTAGATTCGCTGCTCCCGCCAAGTTGAGTGTGGCTCGCCTTTACAGTACAGTACCTGCGCGAGCGGAAATCCATAAGATTTGAAAGGAGGCCTGATTGGGCCGTGCACGCATGCCAATCGCTCCACGCTTCTGAATCGAATTCAATCCTGTCGGCCCAATGACGAGCAAATTAAAACCCTATCCCTCTTTTTTGGAACTTCCATCCGTCGGTGACAAGGGTTCCGAGCGGCCAAAACGCAACGGCAACCGTAACCACCGACCATGCAAACATGCAAACCACACCACTACAGCTGTACCGCACCCATTCTTCTGTCCCCATCCTCATCTTAGCTCTCTCTAATCCATAGTAACTTCCCAGTTATCCATACAAAGAAGACCATATGTTGAAGAACTAGAAGACGATGAAGATAACCAAGATGCAGCTCTTGCTGCTACTGACAGCACTACTTAACTCCTATTCATCTGCCAGTGAATGCACTGATTGTGTCGGTCGCGGATGTGTGTATTGCAAACATGACGATTTCTTCGGCGGTGCAAGCGGACCCAGCCTGTGTGCCTGTGCGGAAGATGGCTTTAAAGGCTGTAGCGAGTTTACCTTTGGGGCATCTGAACTCAAGTCAAGGCCTGATTGTACTTTTGGGAGTCAACAGGGCGAAATCATTGCCGCAGTCGTTGCGATTGCGTGCCTTTTTGTTGCGACTGGTATTGGCATATGCATTTACATGCGAAGAAGGCGATAGGCAAATTGTGAATTTGAGTGCAGGTTTGAGGTATTGGGGCCTACCTGGGGTGAATGTTGTTGAATTCCCTTGTTGTGGGGATGAGAGGGGATAAACGTTCATGGGTGGAACTACTCTGCTCCTTCCGATGGTGCCTGTATGGTCCACGCCCAGGCGATAATTGCTAGCAATACATGTGGCCTGCGTGGAGCTCTCCAAGGTGCCTGACATGAAACGTAAGATGGAGTGGCTGCCATCTTGGCAAAGGATCTCTGTAACAAAATGGTTAATCAAAACGATGTTGCAAAAAGCAAGAAAGAATGTGAGTTCTATTATAGTTGTATATACGGGGAAGTTACTATCAGTTAGTTAGAGGGGACTATGGCGAGGATGGGGTGCAGAGAGAAGGAGGTCAGGTTGCAGGAATGCGAGCTGAACAATCGAGTGCACAAGGCTTGTGGCAGACCTGATCAAGAGCGCCGGTCATCCCCACCCTTGGAGAGCTTGATGAGAGAGGCTGGACTTGCGAGCGCAATGCTCAACCAGTACTAGTATCGGTAGGGTTAGAGCATGGCAGGGAAGATCCTGCTCTCAATACGGTACCGGTACCAGGTACCGGATACCGGATACGGTATCCAGATAACCTTCCCATTCACGTTGTACAAATCAACGTCTGGAAACATCAGTTGGGGCGACTGGTGATCTGGTGTGCCAAACCAACCAAACCAACCAAACCAACACACAACACCAACAAAAAGCAAAGAAGAGGAGGAATGGTGATGACAAAGAAAACCAAGATGCAGCTCTGGCTACTACTGACAGCGTTACTAGTACTTTATCCCTATTCTGATGCCAGTGACTGCTCTGACTGTGTCGATCAAGGATGCACCTTCTGCCAAAAGTACAAGGGTGATTCTTGGGGCGCTGGACCCGGCGTTTGTGTCTGTGAGAGGTTGAACTATGGCTTCTATGACCAAAATGCTGGCAAAGACTGCAGTGAAATCTCAATTGGGGCTTCCGAACTCAAGTCCAAGCCAGATTGTGCCCTTGGAAATCAAAATGGAGAGGGCCTTACCGCATTGTTTGTGGTTGCGGGGCTTTTCTTTGTGGCTGTTATTGGACACTACGTTTACAAACGAACAAAAAGCAAGCCACCAGCCTATGAACGTGACAGGTATACACCATCCCACAACAGTGAGCCCATCGCGTCAGCTCCGCCCACAAGCAGTGTCCTTCCCGTGGTTCATGTTCAACCTACGGCTCCTCCAGCAGTTCACCCTACGGCTCCTCCGGAAGAATCCAACCAACCAGCCATGGCGGCAGCGATTCCTATCGAAGAACACAGTTTGCGTGCTCAGACGGCCATGACAGTGAGTGCAAGGCCAGTTCCGTACCGGTAGAGGGGAGGAAACTCTGGAAAAAGCACACCAAGCAAAGCAGCCCGGTCCAACATAAAGACAATTCGGAAACAAACAACTCGATCTCAGGGCGGCTTTGCGCTTTGTACCCACCAAAAATTCACATTTCGGTTTTTCCTTTGGCCATTTGGATGTAGTCCACCACGAGTCTTGGGAGAGGTCGTTTCCAACATTACTCGAGAATTTTTAGGTAGCCTCCCCACAAACAAAACATAAGACAATTTGTTGAATTGTTCCGTTGTTGGTTGCACCAATGATTTGGAAGCATGCACAAAAGATGAGGGCTTCTGCGTTGTGGGCTCTTCTTTGCATTCCCACCTACTACCGTAGTACCAGTCCACAGACGTCCTCGTCCCTCGTCTTTGATGCCCATTCATTTACCCCATCTTCACAAGGAAGGTTCCGCTCATTTTAAAATATCATCCACTCAACTAGTCTAGCTAGGTACCGGTAGTGCCTACCGTCCTGGTTGGGTCACAGTGAACCCGAGTAGCTCGAGGTGAGCCCTGCAAAGAGCGAGCATCGAAGGTTGACACCCGGGATTCGTACGGTACCGAACTTGTTCTGGCGCATTTTATGAATTTCGGCGCGAAAGATCCAAAACAGTTTTCCTCCGCCCACAACTTCTGACCTTTGTAAAAGCACCTCCACATTCTGTTTGAGAGGGCAGCGTTAGTCTAGATACATACAGTGCCGGTACCAAGATGATTGCTATCAGGTGTTTTTTGGCCCTTGCCTTGTCCATTGGACTGGCCAGTGCAGTTCGTCATCCGCTGGAAGAGTCAATCTCGTGGGAACTCCATGTGCGTCGATTGGAAGGAGGGGAAGAAGAGCCAGAGGATGAGGAAGACACTCCGTACACCATCAAGCACAAAAAGCCCAAGAATCATATTCCGTTTGCCGGCGGAGACACAACCCATGGTATGATGATTGATGCTGGATCGCAGGGTAAGTTAATTGAAAAGAGGTAGAACTGAAGAACTGGGGTTTGGAATACTTTTTCGGCCAATACCAAACTAACGAAACTCTGCGTCATTATTATCTATTATTATGGATCCCACCAAAGGTACTCGCTTGCACATTTTCGAATGGGGCAAACGCATTCTGTTGGATCAAGAAGACCTCTTGGATGTGGCTCACGGAAAGAAGCTCTCCATCCCCACCTCCAATTCTCGTTGGACCGACAAATACACACCCGGATTGGACAAATTGGCCTACCACAAAAAGCCAGCCAAGTTAACCAAGGCACTCCGAAACTATCTCGGTCCATTGCTCGACTTTGCCAAGAAGGTGCTCAAGGACAAGGAACACGAATGGCACACCTATCCGATATATCTGAAAGCAACGGGTGGATTGAGGACGCTGCCAAAGAAAGATCGGGTTCGTCTGATTGAGGCCATTCGAGATTTATTCAACCAGGATAAAACCTTCAATCCGTTTGCCTTTGAGGACGAACAATGCCGTGTTATTAGTGGGGAAGAGGAGGCCATCTATGGTTGGGTGGGTGTGAATTTTGCCAAGGGTAGTCTCATCGATTACAGTTACGGAGAGGGAGATGCGACCATCCGGAAACATCGTCGTAAGTTTAGTTTGGATTGGATCCATTCTTCGAACGACTGTCACGGCCTTTTGACTCAACGTTGTTCCTTCTAAATTTCATCATAGAACTGACCTACGGAATGCTGGAAATGGGTGGAGCGTCAACTCAAATTGCAGTATATGAAAATAATGGAGACCTGATGGTAAGTTGAGATGGCTGTCGATCCTATTCCATGATCCTCTTTCTCAATCATTGCTCTCTTGCTGTGGCTAACTTCATCAATCTTTTTCGCTCGATCAAGGCCAACCTCTTCAAGCTTCAACTGGGAGGATCTAGACACTGGAATGTCTACGTTCATTCCTACTTGTACTTTGGCATCAATGGTGCCTGGACCAGACTCGGTGGACGCCTTCATTGGGAGGGAACCACTACCAACCCTTGTCTCCCTATTGGAAGTGAGGTTGAGTTTTCCTCTTGGGCTACCATGGACCAAGAGGGGAGGTTTTATCCCCGCAGTGCCAACGAGAGTCAGCCATACTCGGTGACCATGGTCAATAACAATACAGCTTTTGACTATTCGCATTGTGCTGCACACACCAATTGGCTCCTGAGGAATGACGCCAACCAAGAATGGTGTGAGTTCGAGATGGATGGCAACTGCGGGTAAGATCAAGACAGAGTGGTTGCGAGAGTGTCTCCTCTAGTCATGTCGACTGACTTGCCCTTTTGCTTCGTGTAGCTTTGCAGGCATCTATCAACCTCCGATGCCCCAGGTGAACAGGGATATTGACGAGTTTGTAGCCACGAGCAACTTTGTTGACGTATTCAGATTTTTGAAACTTGGAGATCGGGCGAGTGTCTCTCAAATTGGCCAGGCGGCGGAGAAAGTTTGTGCCCTGAATTGGGAAGAAGTCAAAGACTACAATTCCAACTTGAAGGATTCTCCTGTCGGGAATGATGATGAGCACACACTCGCGCAGATGTGTTTCCGGTCTGTCTTTGTCTACCAGTTACTCCGCAATGGATGGGCATTCGGTGATGACTATGAGCTCACTGCAGCAGACGTTATCAATGGCCAGAAAATGGGTTGGGCGCTTGGTTGCATGCTCTACGAAATCAACACTCGTAAGTAGTCATCAAGCAGAACGGGAGACCTCATGTTTTCATTCCACCGTCTCTCACAATCGCAACTCCTCCAGTTCCATGGGACTTTCATCCAGAGTTACTGTACAGAGGCCCGGATTGGTGGCTCATCACTTTGTACGTTATCATTGGCACCTTGGGGGGAGGCGCTATCGGGTTTGCCATTGCCATGAGAACAAGCAAGAAATTCAACAAGAGAGTACGACAATCCGTCTTTTTCCAAAACAGCGCACTCTTGAACAATCCTACCGTTAGAAAATCGTTGTCTTGCCCACCATTGGATTTGGAGGAACTTTTGAAGGAAGAAGAATATGCTTTACACCAACAATACAGTGATGAGGCAGATAAATTGGCCGAAGAAGAAGCCTTGATTGGTGATGATAATGGCACAAAATACACCTAGCTTGCAATGTGAATCGCAAAAACTGCTCGTGTCGAGACAACCGTGTCAACCATCTGGAGTTAACTGGTTTCGAGAGTGCAAAGGTGGGCCTTGGGAGACACGGATCGGTATATCACCTCCCTCCGGAAGGCTGGCACTGGGAGATATCCAGGTGCTGGGAATGGACTGAGACTCGCTTCAGAACGTGCCTCGACCGTTTGCGTTTTTGGTGTGGTGTGGTCTATGATTTTGCTGTTGTTTCGGGTATGCAAAGACCGTCTCTCCTCCACTTTCCCGTATATGCATAAGATAGTACTGTAGTAACCCAAAATTGTGTCTTCCTGTAGAAATGTTGTTGCAGCAACAAAACGGTTTTCGCAATGGCTACTTCTGCTGCGATTGATGGGGTAAGAACCAGCACTGTGGTGCTTGGTCATCTATCTGCTATCCCTTCATTGCTTTGATCAGCAGGCAGGGATACACATCATGGGTTGAAAGATTGAATCCTTGTCCACGGGCTACATGTTGCACGTTGAATGTGAAACCTATCACTACACCGTTTTTCAAAATGAAACCTAAGAAACAGTGTCAGGTAACATGTACGACGTACTACAGTGCACCGCCAGAGTTTGGGAAATAAATGCACTACCAGGCTCGGGCAAAGAAAGCCACCCATTGCAATCCATTTTGTGTTCATTCTAAAATCGAAGTTTGTGCTCTTGTTCCTCTCCATCATTGAGTAGTAATCCTAAATATCTTCATCTTCTTCGTCCTCTTCCTCTTCCTCTGGACAGCCATGTTCACGGGCCCATTTCAGTACTTCCAAATACCCACCAGAAGAAGCCATTTCACAAGTGTCTTCATTCCAGGGGCAGCCATTTTCACGGGCCCATTTGAGTATTTCCAATTGACCATGTCCAGCAGCAAATGCACAAGTGTCCACAATTCCATGGACAGCCATGTTCACGGCCCATTTCAGTATTTCCAAATGCCCACTTCTGGCTGCAAATAATGAAGTCCTTGCATTCCAGGGGCAGCCATTTGCAACGGGCCCATTTCAACAACTTCAAATGCCCACCTCCAGCAGCACATGCACAAGTGTAATCATCCCATGGGCAGCCATTTTGACGTGCCCATTTCAATACATTAAGATGCCCACCTTCAGCAGCACTTGTGCAAATGCTTTGATGCCATGGACAGCCTTGGCTCGTGCCCATTTCAGTATTTCCAAATGCCCACCTCCAGCAGCTTCTGCACAAATCCTCCTCCATGGACAGCCATTTGCACGGGCCCATTTCAACACCTTTAGATGCCCACCTCGAGCAGCATCTCCACACGCATTAGTATGCCATGGGCAGCCATTTTCATGGGCCCATTTCAGTAATTCCAAATTCCCACTTCTGGCAGCAAATAAAGAAGTGTATTCATTCCAAGGGCAACCATTTGCACGCAACCATTTCAATACATTAAGATGCCCACCTTCAGCAGCAGCAGCACAAGGACAATAAAACGCATCCCACGGGCAACCCTTTTCACGCAACCATTTCAATAGATCAAGATGCCCACCCTTGGCTGCTTCAGCACATGTACGTATATGCCATGGAAATCCTTTATTGTGTGCCCACTGAAGAACAGCAATGTTTCCCTTCTTGGCTATGGCTTGGCACACATGAAAACGAGTAGGCATTCTTTTGTGGGAATCATCACTGAACCATAATTCTGCAGTGGCCTCATTTTGAAAAGCAGCAGTGTAGGTTGTGACTGTGCTAGTTGCTTGACATTTTGGACCATGCTCGTGACTCACTACCATTGGTGGATCCTCCACAGAATCACAATACTCTTTGTAGAGGTAATTCATCTTTTTGTTGACAGATCCTACGAAGGCATAGTGGCCCATGCCAACAAAAGGAAGGATGCCATTGATCCAAACATCTTTTTGATTGAGTACCCGTAACGCTGGAGCACCAGAGCCTAATTTTTGCTTTTTGGCTTTTGGCTTGGAAGACATGATGGTGATGTGACAACTAGCTAGATAGTTACTAGTATACCGGTAGGTCTAGTTGCTGAATGTAATACATGTACTAGTAGTAGTGTCTTGTTGCTTCACCCAAATTTTGTTGCTGTCTATTATGGTCGCTGTGTGGTGGCTGGAGCATGGGACCGGTACAGTACCTGGTACGGAATACCCCTAACCCTCGAAGCAATTGCCCGCTGAATCAAATCAGATCTTTCTTGGCCACCTTGTCGCTCCTTCGTCCCTGAACTGCTGCGAAGTCCTCACTGTCCTCACTCAATCCTATCTTCATTGCCACCGTCAATCGTCCATCCATAACTTACTTCTTTTGACCATGAGCGAACGCCGCCGCATCTTTTTCGTCACGGGCGCCAATGGTGGTGTTGGTTTGGAAGCGACACGCCAATTGCTGCAAGATGATTCCAATTGTCACGTCTACATGCTGTGTCGTTCGAAAGAACGCGCCGAAAAGGCCCTGGAAACCTTGGACCACCAGGGCCGTGCCTTTTTTCTCGCCTTTGATGCCACGCAGGACTTTTGTCAGGATATTCCGGATACGATCGATTCGATTGATGGTCTCTTGTTGAATGCGGGGGGCTTTGGAGATGATCCCAAACTAACACCAACCACTCGTCAAGATGGAAACACCGTTTGTCCCGTGGCGCAATTGAATTTACTGGGGCATGCGGCGTTGGTGAAAAAGTTGTTGGCGCTGGGAAAACTGACATCGACCAGTCGCATTGTGGCGTCTGGGACGGAAGGTTGCTTTGCACCGCCTTCACCCAATTTTCAATGGGAGACCTGCGACTTTTCCAAGCACTTGGCGGGTGAAATTGCGGTGCAAGGAAGTCCCTATGGTTGGGTCAAGGGAATTCTGGCATTCTACTGGGCCGCATTTGCCAGGCATCACCCGGACATTTTTGTCCTGACAGTCTCTCCAGGAGCCGTCAAGGGAACGGGCCTTTTGAACCATGGTGGTGTCACTTCCGTGCTGCGAATGTTTGCACATGCACTCATTTTTTTCAAGGGAAGCAACACCATCCAAGTGGGAGCCAAACACTATGTAGATGCCTTGTTGGCCAGAGGCGACTTTAGTGCGGATAAAGGAGTAGCCAGTGGTAGCTTTTTTGCTCACCGCAAAGGCTACAACCAAGATTTTGGAGATGTCACACAGCACAAGGCAGGCAAAGCCTTTGCCGATCAAGCCATTCAAGATCGGGCGTGGGAAGCAGTGGAAGCCATGCTGTAGGTTGCTATTTACGCTAGGACGAGCTTGCCTGAGAAAGAAGCATTCCCTCTTCGGCAGACGTCACAGCAGCTCTCCGCCCTCACCCAGTGGATGATGAATCGGAGTTCTGTATGAACCCAAGCACAAAGAAGATTCTCTTGTGCAGTACCTTGCCAATCAGTGTTTATCACTCTTTCACAAGAAACTTCGCGACAACCCACAGCCTGTGCTGACAAGTACACCCAACACACTCTTTCTTTGACCACAGTCGAGCTTTGGTATCTAAAAGGCAGAATCGAATGGAATCTGAAACGGTACGTGTAGTTTTGCTTAATTCAATTCTGTAAGTATAGATTATGTCGTATCAGTTGAATGCTCGCATCGGACTCTTCAGCCAACGAGTTGTGTGCTTCGAGCTGAGTCGAGCCCAGCCCCAGCCGTGCTCCCCCCCCCACACACACATAGCAATCGACGCAACCAACGCCCAGGCTCTTCTTTTCTTGGCTGCTTCAATTGAACTTCACACTCCTTTATGCAGCAAGCTAGACGTTACATAGGGTATCGATACACTAAGTACTTCTTCTATGCAATATGCAGCGTGTAGCATTCACGAGCAAAAAATAGCTAGCTAGCTCTCTTGAAAGCTCCTCATCAGTCATCGTCTGGTTCTGGAGGTTCCACTAATCGTTCGTAGGTCGCAAAGGTCAACAGCAAGGTGCCGAAAATGATAACCGAGTACCAGCCAAACGCTCGGTTCAGCAACTCCTCCATTCCTCGACTGCCCACAGCCGCCAAGAGCACATCCCCAATGACACGCCCCAAAGTGCCGCTCTCAGTGGCAAGAAGGCCAACGTTGATTATTCCACGGCTCCACTTGCGGGGAATCACTTTGGAAAGCAACGACATGTTGGGAGCTTCGAGAGCACTAGCGCAGACAAAGAGCAGTGCCGATCCAATCAGATACTGAGCCAACGTGTAGTCCTCGGGATCGTGTTGATACTGGAGAATGACGATGCACCCCACAAACATGCCGACCAAAAGGCCAATGATAAGCTCCCGATCAAAGTAGGAACGTGCCAGAAATGCGACTCCAAAGTTGACTGGAAGGATGAGCAGAGCCAGAATTGTCAAGTGTACACCACTGATATCGCTCTCCCAATCAAAGTACAAAGTGGTCAGATTTGATTCGGAACTCAAAACAGCCTCCAAAACCATTTTGAGGACCATGTAGACCACCAAAGTGACCATCACAGGAACATTGCAGCAGAGGCTACCAGACTCTTCCTCCTCTTCGGGTGCATCTGGTGTGATGCTCTGTGCCAACAAGGGCTTTTTTTCGGAGAGCGTTCCGTTCTGTTGTTGTTTATTGTCGTCTGATGAAGTATTCTTGCGGCTGTAGGGTCGCACAGGTTCCTCAAAGTAAAAGATGAGAAAGAACAAGAATATGATCCAAACAAAGAACATGAATACTCCAGGGGCATTTTCTGACTGCCAATAGACACTGGTACTTTCTTCGGTTGCCACGTGCAAGATGGATGCCAATGCCGGTCCAGTGGCCATTCCAGCAGCTGTGGCAGTGACAAAAGCTGCCGATGCAGTCGTCCGATCTGCTTGAGAAAAGCTATCGGCAATGTACCGTCGATTGATACTGCAAAAACGAAAAACACGGAGAAGCATCAGAATATTACAGGCTTGTTGCCATAGCGTCGGAGCAAACCAAACTATAGCTTTTGTTTTTTCCTTACCTGCGAGCACTTCCAAATCCATTCAGCAACCGTCCCAGCATGACAATTTCCAATGACTGACAAGGTAAACCAGCCGCGTATAGCATGTTTCCAACGACACTGCAAGTACTTGCAAAGATCAATGCAGATTTGTAGGAATAGCTGGTCCACCAGGAGTACAGCAGGGTGGATACAAGTGCTGCCACGGATGTCATGCCAATGATAATGGAGGCAATCGAAGAGTCGGACCCCAGCTTGTCGGCGTAGTTTGCCGATGTAGGTGCCACAATGTAATAGTTTGCTAGGGTGGTTTTGAATTAAAGCAAAACCAAGCGTTACGTGAGTGGGACAAATAAATGACGCATCAAAGGCTTTACCGAACAACACAGAGAGATTGAAGGCACACATCATTGTGTTTCTGCACTACGATACCAGGTACTTACTCATGTAAAAAAAGGTGGACAGTAGATTCAACAAGTTGCTCAATCTGGAGGGTCGACCATTCATCATGGGTGACGTTTTGGATCCTGATTCCGAAATGACATCTTCCGGTGTCGTCACCATCATGGGAGCCGCCAAGAGGCGTATGAATTCGTTGGTGTGATGAAGCCGACCCCGGGCGGCATGAATCTGCAGTAGAACTTGACTTGGACTCATGGTAGTGGTTCTGCGCAAGGCTCGTTCCTCTTCCAACATCATGGCCTTTAAATCGCCACCACTGACACTGTGCGATGGCTGCTGATTGGTTTGATCATTATAATAGGATGTTTCTCGTTGTTGCGGTGATGGTTCCTGCTGTTGTTGTAGCATCATACTCTGTAAATTGGGTGCCGTCAAGTGTCGTTTGCTAATTCTCGGTTCTGCTGCGGCCAAAGCAGTGGCAGGCGTATGATTGAGTTCATATTGGACCCAAAGACGACGCAGTTCTTCCGTCCCGGCTTCATAGGCTCCTGCCAATGCCGTGAAGGTGTCTACCTGCAACAGTGGCTGCAATAGCTGATTGCCCCACAAGATCCAATCCAATTTTTCGTCGTCTCGTCCCATGAGTCTGCGAGCGTAATTGTAGCCAACAATGCCAAAGGCGGTACTACTTTCGCTGTTGCGCAATGTCAAGTAGGACAAGGACAATTTGCTGCGTGCGACCTTGTCGTGTTTTTTGAGTATTTTGCGAAAGCCCTGCATATTGAGATCGACAAATCGTATTAGACGCAAGAGAGCAATGCCGGTTTCCACATAGGTGCCTTCGAGCTGAACCAATTCATCCATTTCAGAAGCTCCTTTGAGCAGTTCTTGTCGGCATTCGTCCAATGTCGATGTGATGCGGCCTTGTTCTTGCAGCACAAAAAAGGCAACTTTTTCAGTTTGATGGTACAAGACGGATAAAAAGAATTGCGAGTTATTGTTGTTGGCAGCAGTACTACCGCCAATGGTCCAAGTGGCCGTGGCAATACTCTTATTGTCCATTCCTTTGCCACTGGCAGACACGTCATGGTACTCTTCCTCCAAGACTTGCTTCAAGTGCTGGTAGTCAATGTAATGCAGAGCCCAGGGCACATATTGAGTGGTGATGAGCTTTTCTCCAAAGTTGACCATCTTATCTTATCTTATCTTATCTTTCAGCAATTATAATTTCCATCCTTATGGCAAATAATGAAATGGGAGATGGATCCAACAGAAATCAGTTTTGCAATTGCTTGCTCCTCAATAATGCAAGATGGCGTCGGCTTCTTTCCGGTTGTGGGAGACCAATCATGATGGCCATTGAATCTGCGAATCTGGAAGTTGTGTCAGAAGGAATCCTGACACTTTTGTCTTGGACGCATCTTTCGCATCCTGTTGATGCCGTTCTTCTATTTGGTTCATTTGTCTTCTACAGTTGTACCGTATGACGTCAGTATCGTACGGTAATAAATAATGAGACAGTCGACCCTCTACTGCTCACAAAATGCCACCGGCACTTCCCGATCACTTCCTTTCAAAGCCTCAACACGTACACCCTACTAGCTAGCTATGATAGTCACCACTCTCTAGCTAGTAGAGCTAGCGACTATCGATCGAAGACGACATCCAACCATCCACTATGACAAACAGAGCAACCAAAAATGATCAACCGGAAGCGTTTGCCGACTGTCCCGCCAGTGCCGATGAATTTCCTTTGTTTTTCGCAATCACTTGGGGTTTAGCCATTCCCCCGATATGGAGCTTCAAAAGCTCATACCGGTATGACCAATTGGAAGATGCCGAGCTCCGTTTCACCAAGGCCCTTTGCTTTTGTTGGACGGTCAAGAAATCAGGTCTAGAAATTTAGCGTTAGCGTACCCGAGAAGTAGAAAGACCGCGACCACGAAAGAATTTAAGGAAGTCTGGCATTCCAAAATCCAGATTCAACCTGTCCCAGGCTGGAAGATCACTTTTGCCTTTCAGATTGCCCGAATCAACTAAATAACCTTGATAAGAATAGTAGCTGCAGTGTTTTCATCCAACACTGAAAGGAAAAAGCTTTATCTTTTGATATCATCCCATGGGATTGTAAGATAAGTTATCTATTGTATTACTACTGAGAAAGGAGTGAGAGAGAGCCTACTGTGCAGTGCCACCCTTGAGGTGTGCAGCTAGCCTCAGTGAAAGGCCAAGAAGAACAGTCTGACAGAGGCAGAAGTCCTAGAGATATCAAGTCAGTGCATGAGAACAGGTATTGTAATAGTGCAAGAGAATTGAGAAGAAATACAGGCTCTAACCAGGTATTGAACCAGAGGTGCGCAGCAGCCTCGCTGTAAACGCAAAGCAACAGAGCTGACAGTCAAGGAAAAAGGAAAATTCGCGCTCACATTTTGTCACCAAACAAGCTCTCGGAGCATCGGCCGATCGAGTTAACGTTTTGGGCTGACCGATTCAGCCCAAAACAAGCATACCAGCAGAGAGTAGAGCACTACCTGGTAGCCGGTTCATATTGATACCGGAAGCAAGGTCAACGGAGCGATATTCGCTCGTGGAGTACCGACCGATAGAGTGTTTTGGGTACCCACCGTACGAGCAAAAGCCGACCAGCGTGATCAAGGCTAGCAACCAAACCAACATGGCTACGACTACAAGCCCATACACCAACCGAAAGAAGACATCTAGCCGCATATGGGAATACAAGTGCAAGCCTACAGTTCTGAGAATTGACTGAGATATCGCCATTCGAGCTAACAAGTGCTGAAGCAGTGGGAGTCACAGTTCCCAGCCAAGCGCCGACGTCTGAATCTTCAAGAGGGAGCTACCTAAGCCTATGATACTCAACCAGCAATCGCATCTAACACCAATACAAGGATCTACATCAAGAGAAGAGCTTCGAACAGTCAACAGAGTGAGTTCCCTAGTACCCTCAAGTCCAAACGGTGGAATTTCGTGTGATCGCGATAAGCGAGTTTTCGAAGCCACCGACCGACCGGAACAAGCTTCCACAGCGACTAGTCCTACAAGCAAGCCTAATGCTCCAAGGAACTAGTGAAATACGCCAAGGTAATTGCGAGTAACCAGCAGGATAGCTGGAGCAGCGACGAGAACAAGTACACTGTACTGGTACAGCAGGAAACACAGCACACGAGGAGAGTCCGAGCAATCCGTTGCAGGAGGTGATGGGTCTTGATTGATTCATTCGATTCGATTCACGCGAAGCAAACTTGCGCTCCTGTCGAGTCCTCTGACATGCATCCTTTCATAGGCATCCTACCTGATAGCTAGTTCCCCGTAACCATCTCCAAAACACGAAGCAGACTACTGCTGCTGTTACAAACCGAAACGTGCATACCAAGAAAGCACATTGGCTTAGCCGTCGCTAGTGAAAAAGGAAGCACCAACCCAGTTGGGGTAGCTGAGAGTCTTGTTAACTGGGAAAAGGATGTAATACAGTGGGGATTTGGACATGTAGACGACGCCAAGTTCATCTCGAAGGAACTGGTTCAGTGGGTCCTTCCCAAGTGCGCTCCTTTGAACATCAAATTACGCAAAGATTGGACTGCCCCCTGGGCAAAAAATGGCCATGTGCATGGCAGATTAATTCATCGAGAGATCTTGCAATCTAGCCCTGGTGGAACCTTTTGTTCTGTGTACCCAGTTACGGCCAAACACAATCTTCGTCGTGTGGTGGACGGGGACAATAGGCTTTACACCCCAAAGGAAGCCAATATTCTATTGTCAAACATCGACATTTATATTTTGTGGGATGACCTCGGTTGGCTGCCAACTGAAGCGGACTGTTTTGATCTTCGCGAGGGTAAAGAGGCTCAGCCTGCACTCTGTGCTTACGGATTTGATGCGACTGTTGGCCATGTTATTGCAGATGCAGAGAACCCCGCCTGTGCTGCCAAGCCTTCATTTCAGAAGGTCCACGAAGACTTCATATTTGAAAAAGGGCAGAAGCTTGGGATGGCAGTTTTTTTTACAAATCAAACGAAGCCCACACGTGCCACTATCGTCGGAGCCGACGATGCTGAAATTCCGGAGGATTTTGGGGAATCGAAGATCAAGAAGTATTATGGTGAACCTGGCCGAGTCAACATTTACACAGGTGAAATCAAATATGTTGGCCCAAAGCATATTGAATACAGCATCAATAGTTTTTACTGGATGCTCCGGTGCCGTTGTCTTTTTATTGGACAAGGATCAGCCTGCATCAGTTGATCTCTAGCTAGAAAGTGGGTACATTAGTTGAGCGGCATCAGCAAAGGCGGTCTACAAGCCCGTTTGGAAGCTCAAACCACTCCAGTTTTTTTCTTTCTCGTGTCATTGGTGTGCTTACCGTATCGTTGAGGCTTCTGGTCTGTTTTGATCGACAATCCAGGTCATTTATTTCTCGTTTTGATCTTCCAATTTCCGCACCAACTGCGGGAATCCAGTATCCACCAATTGTTGGATATGGTCCTCGTTCATAGTGCCTGCTTTGAAGGCGCATCTCTGTTTTGAGAGCCAATTCCGTTGGCTTTGACTTAGCGGGTCTCGTGTAAAGTCTGCTGCCACTTGACTTCACGACGCTTCTCACTATTCTCACACAGTATGGTATATCCCTTGAGGCGCCACTGGAAGGAAGTTGATTGAGCTGAGCTTTTCAATTCGTTCCTTGGATAGAGTTCCTCGATAGTACCGCTGTCGTTGCGTGGCCACCCATCCGCCCAACGTCTTGATGTGTTTGTCCTCACTTCGGACGAGGACACATACAGTGACCATGGTTTCTTTGAACGATTCAAACTTTTCGTATCTAGTATCCCAACTCTTGAATGGGCCAGTTCATGTGATGCATGTAACAACAAAATGGACAGCAGCAAGGGCGATGATGGGCAGACAAAGATAGCAAATCATGGAGTTGGACAAGCTATGCAGAGCCATTTCCAGCTAGATCTAAACTGTGGTAATAGGCTAATTGGAGAACAGAGCATGTCTAGCAAGTGTCCTAAGTTCATACTAGCCTCTCCAGCAAAAATTTGTACTACAGTCAGCCTATGCCTATTAGAAGCCAGCGAAGGCGTCAAACGAATGATTCGTCCTTAACCCTAACACTACACTACTGTAATTGGCGAGCCAGACGACACTCACTCTCCCATGCAAATGATTCGGCTTTTTCCGCGTTAGCTTCTATGTTTTCCTTCAGCTTGCTCGCTGTTGGATCCATTGATTTCGATTCCAAACCGGTATAGATCCGCTCTCGCTCTCGCATCATATGTAGCCAACTTACGCCTGTGCCCTCTGAATGGAATGGTACCGTAGACAGAGAGTTACATCGATCCCGTGACAGTGCAACCAGTACCGAACACACTCACGTTCCGCTTTGCTGCACACTCCGTTTGCCGGGTTTCTTGGAGAGAGATTGGAGCTCAGTGCTTTTGCAGCTATACTCTGATTCAAACGCGTGCCGACTTTTCTGGTACACTTCTACGATTGTGTAGAAATGTTACGAAGAAGTCGGCTCGCGCAGTATTATGTAGATCTCATAGAAGCGATCTCGCTGAGCTGCCGCGCTTGTGATATTGGGATCTTAGCTACATTCGCGACAGTGGCAACAGTACGAACACACTCAGGTTCGGTTTGCTCGCTACACTCGTTATTCGCAGCATTGGATCTTCATGGCGGATACATGCGCAAACCCAATTCTGTTAATTCTCTCTTTTCCAGCCATTGTAGCCGGCTACTACGTACAGTTACATTCGGGACAGTAGTCAACAGTACCGAACACACTCAGATTCCGCTTTGCTGGCTACACTCCGTTGCCGTTATCTTGCATTGGATCCCTTATGACGAATACATGCACAAACCGAACATTATGATCCAGCCATTGTGCCGGCTGCGGTATAGCTACATCGACGACAGTGGCAACAGTACCAAAAGTTCGGCTTTGCTCGCTACGGATACCGGTACTTCGCATTGGATCCTTACGACGAATACATGCCACAAAACCGAATATTGTTAATCCGCCATTGTAGCCGGCTACCATAAAGTTACATACGGCGACAGTATCAACAGTACCGACAACACTCAGATTCCGCTTTGCTGGCTACACTCCGTTGCCGTTATCTTGCATTGGATCTTATGACGAATAAATGCAAAACCGAACATTATAATCCAGCCATTGTAGCCGGCTGCGGATAGCTACATCGACGACAGTGGCAACAGTACCGAAAGTTCGGTTTTCTCCTACGGTTACGGTACTTCGCATTGGATCCTTACGACGAATACATGCACAACCGAATATTGTTAATCCAGCCATTGTAGCCGGCTACCGTACAGTTACATCGGCGACAGTGTCAACACTCTGACACTACCGAACACACTCAGGTTCCGTTTTGCTGGCTACACTCCGTTGCCGGTATCTTGCATTGGATCCTTATGACGAATACATGCACAACCGAACATTATGAATATTGTCAATCCAGCCTCCACAAGCACTGTTCCCACGGGAAAATGGGTACCAGCACAGGAATCACCACCAAAACACTATGAAATAACACTGGAGGGGTGAATCCAGTAGTAGGATCCACTCTCTTGTGTGTTGTCGCGTAGCCTCCTCATGTTGCCATTTAATGACTCGACAATCCGTTCAGACTGTTGGTAGCTAGGGCTGGAGTTAACAGAGCCTCCTCCTCCGTAGCGGTAGCCACTCCTCTTGCTGTTATCCAGAGCGATCGATCGTCGACAATGGGATTTCCTCGGCCGTCAGCAGTGCAGCAGAGAAAACAACAAATAGATATGAGTTTTGTTTTCTGTGCTCAACTGCAGACGACCGGAGACTTACCATTGTTTTTCAAATTCCACCAACTCGGCCGTCATGGGCCGAGAACTGACTGCCATCCCATGGTCCATAGGATTCAATGAGGGATGGCTTTCGCATCTGCACCGGAGAAGGACGGTTTGAGTGAGGCTTGGATAATAGAGATACTAGTGATAGAGGTGCGATCGATCGATTCGAATAATTAAAACAACTCACCTGTTGACGGCCGAGCTCGGAATTCTCTCCTGTTTGCCATAGAAATTCAATGAGGGAGAGAAGTCAGCGCTGTACCTTCAATAACACTCTTGATAATAGATTCGATTGAATCGAATCGATCGATCGGCCGATTGGATAAAGCACTCACCATTGTTGTCGGCCAAGCTTGGATTTACCTCCTGTTTACCATACGAATTCAATGAGGGAGAGAAGTCAGTGCTGTACCTTCAATAATGGACTTTCTGTGCGATCAGTTAGTTTATCCATTCGATCCAATCCGTTCCTCGATTCTTTCGTAAATCCTTAACCTTAGTAACTTCAACGGTTCCTTTATCCACGAATCGATCTATTTTTATCGAACGAGAACCTGTTACTTATGGATACACACGATCTATTTTTATCGAACGAGAACCTGTTACTTATGGATACACATGACCGTTGATTCTGCAACTGAAGTGCGGGTACTCTAATTTACACAGTAAACGCGGGCAAATCGATTTTGGAGTGCAACTGAGGGGGAAACCAAAAGGAGCGTGGTCTGGGAGACCAAACACTATTCACTCGACATCCATCTTCCCTTTTTGCACGATCATGGATCTGCTGATTGCGGCCATCAACATCAGACCATGACGTCGCGTACCACTGCTTTGGTGTTCATGGCCGAACCAGTTTTACCCAGAAGTTTTGAAGAGAAAGCTTCTCATAAATGCGCAGCAAAGCCAGGAGTGGTTGGTTTTCTTGCCGCAAATTAATTTGCAGCCTGGACCCAACAGTCACTCAATGAAAGCAAAATCAATCGTCACTTACTTTTGCTCAAATCAATCAATCCAGATTTCTTGGTTCCCACGCGTCCAGGCTCATCCAACCTTCTGATTGTATTTTGTTTGTGTGCGGTTTGTCACCATGCATGCAACTGGAAGTACGGCATTGAGTTGAGTTGACTCATATCTCTTCAAAATGATTGCAACCAAAAGAAACGAAGTCTTCTTGCCCGTAGACAATGTTTGAAGATTTCGCAGATTATCCATGGGTGTGGGTGGGTGGGTGTTGACGACAATCCAACCAACCAACCGCACGACATTGGACATGGAAGCCGTGTCGGGCATGGCACCAATGCTATAGCAAGAAGATCCACCCTGCTGTATGTTGTGGGAGTTGGAGTCCTTTCCAACCGAAATATCAAGGAATTTCAGGTTCAGTTCCAAGTACTCTTGCAGCAGCAGCAACAACAGGGCAATCAACGTGATTCAGCAAACATATTCTGTTTGGGCTACCACTCTCAACATGCAGTGTTAAAAAAAGTTGGTTTTCTGTATGTCTGGGTCAAAACACGCTGCCTGCTGACTTTCTTAAATCGTGCAAAAGCCTCACAACCAGCCCGATGTTGATGTAGAGGCATCAGCCAGCCATTTGACGCTTCCTCTGCAGTAACTCTATGTTGGACGTTTTGACTACATGTATATAATTGAGGCAGCAAGAAGTGACATTACAGGAACGGGGTTGGGACCAGTTCTCAATACCCTTTAGAAGGAGCAATCATACTGTGTCATACCCTTTTTACTGTCTCCAAACGCATCCTCCTCCGGACGTGGTGGGTCCGTCCCGTAGCTAGTTCTTTACTCTTGTCGGGACGCATTTCTCAATGGAGGGGTTTCCTCTTTCTGCCCTGATGCCTGTGGAGTTACCGCGTATGTGTAGTAGCACGGTGGTCAGTGCACGAAGAATGCAGTGGTTATGGCGTCAGAAGCAGCACTTATAGTACAAGCCCAAGGCCTTCTTGTTCTCTACAGAATCCAATATGTTCATTCTAGTAAGTGTTGTTATCTACCCGAGGCATCCCATGGAAGCTCAATTGATGCGCAAAATATCCACAGGATGCCCCGTTATGATTTGTGTTGTGTGTACGAGTGTTGGTATCATTTTGTTTTCCTTTGGTCAGTTCCACACAAACGCTGCACTGCCAATTGGTGTCACAATAATAATCGTATCCCATCGTAGGTTGCAGTAGAGGGTGGTCTGTGTGTTGAGTTGTGGTGTCCTTTCTTGCTTCCACAGAATCAATCATTGTCATTCTTCAATAAGAGTTTCCACTATTACTCTTGTACGCATTGCTGCTGCTGCCAGTCGCATCCTTGGCTTGCCATCCTCGTTGTCCTCCTTCACAAAAGGGCACCACCCGACAGACGATATCCCGTTGCTGCAATTGTTTTCCCAATGCCAAACACTCCTTGCGGGTCCACGTTCCCAGACAACTCATTCCATTATCCTTGGCAAATTTACTCAATTCTTTTCCCTCGTCCGACGGCATATCCAAGACATACTCCAACGCGCCCGCCACATAGACTACCGTGATTTTGGGTTTTTCAAAGGTAGACCCAAGCAACAAAATGTGAAAGGGATCTTCCATTTCACGGCTTGTTTGCGAATCAATGAGATACTCCAAATCGGGATAATCACGATCGTCCTCCATGTCGCGCAAATCGTCGTCGGTATAACTCGTCTTTTCTTCCTTGGTAGGTGGCTCCATTGTCGTCACTCCTCGACCGTACAATTTGGTGGTAGCAGCTGGAGACGCAGAACGATAGGATGTAAACGCGGATACCGGTGCCAAAAAGGCCAGGCAGGCCAACAACAACGTGTAGGTAGAGACGGAACGCATCGTAGAGTATCGTAGTTTCGAGAAACACAAAAATGAAGAAAATGGCTGCTATGGGTAGCTGCCTGTCTTTCTATCTTATTGGAGGATGACTGTTGTTCACTTGGAGCCGATGCAATTCTTTGCTGGTGTGATTCCAACAAGGTGTTGGATCTCTAGCTAACTAGCTAGCTAGTAGTAGCTAGTAACGCAAAGAATGCCATCTGCTGACTGTCACAGCAAATGCTCTCACAGAATTCCGTGTGGCAGTTCTTCTCTCGCTCAATAGAACTTTCCAGAACAACGCGTCACTCCCACCACGACCAATGACGGTACCCTTGGCCTTATTCTTCCACGCAGTGCTTCCACGACATGGATACCACAGTTACTGTGGTATTTTGAAGATCAGCTCTCTCCACCCCTCGTCGAGGAAGAAGATTACATCCTGTGTTGTCGCTCAACACTTCTTTGCACCAGCGATTACAGGTATCACGTGAAACCTTCGCGGCAGTATTACAATCAAGAGCTACGAGCCTACGAAGGAAGAGCTATGAGACACATTCATTGTTGATTCCGCTAATACGAATCGAATCTTCTATACGAATCGAATCTTCTATAGAAATAGCTGTCGACGGCACTCCTTCCCGCAGGGGAGTACTCCCCTGATAAACCTTCCCTTACCGGTTCTGCCGCTTGTATTGTGCGTTCTTACTTTTGTGCCCGCCAAAATCCTTCTCGTCCTATTGCGACTATGTGTCGTGTTCGGACATTGGACGAAGCATCTAACGAGACGGTGACCTTTTTGACAAGCATTTGGGTCGATTTTTCGTTTTCCACCTTGATGCCCTTTTCCTCCAAAGCTGCACGGATATCCATCACCGCAACTTTGATACTCGCCATCTCTTCGTTATACCCTCGAACTGTCGCCGCTTTCTCGATGCCCTCTTCAAACTTCATCACCCGCCCAGATTCCTCTTGGTACTTTTTCGCGGCGTCATCGTCGGTGCTCGAAGGGCGTAACAAACATTTCAGGAACTCCCCGCCATGCATAATCTGGTTGCGCTCATCATAGCTGTCAACCTTTCCACGCTGTATGTTTTCCACGACGTGGATACCACTGTTGCTACTCTCGTACTAGCTCTAGCTAGTAGTACCACGCCAAGATCCGGTTCAGCTCTCTCCTGCACGCCGGTACGGTACCGGTACTGGTACAGCATGCTTTTCCTCTGAAGCAGATTACTACCAGTGCATGTAGTACATCCTTTGCTGTCACTCAAAACACCCCAGAGCAGTTCTGCTCTGTAGACATTGCGTCTACAATAGCATGATGGGGCGAGTCACCGAAATCCCGACCAGTGTACCGCTAGCTAGCTAGTGGTAGTTGCTGCTGTTCATTTATTTGCACAGACAGACTGTGTTGCATCCGAGTCCTTGCCGAAGGAGCAACGGTGTCGTTGAGCACGTCAAGCCCAGTGATTTGAAGATCGTGACATGACCATTTATTAATTCTACTAGGTAGAATTTATATTAGGTAAAACGAGAGCATTCCTTTTATTTGGTGCTTCCAAGTAAGTAATTGTGGTAGGTGGAATCGCTTTTTGAACGATCCAACTGTACGCTCCAAAACTTCTGCCCCGTTCAGTCCACATAGTTACTTCCGCCATGCGACTTGACTCTTCAATAGTCAAAACAATAGGCGAGCTCGACTGCTGCTAACAGTACAATACAGTGACAATCACGAACACTCCGGACAACAAGCAAGCTACGAGAACCGGTCGAAGCTGCAGTGGCTCTCTGCTGACAAGATACATCCGCGCATGCGTTATTAAACTTGTCACCATTACTTACCCGCGCATCGTCAAGGAGCGACGAGCCAACTTGGACTTTGTTCGTCGTCGAGGCTTGGTTTTTGTACGACCAATAATCCAAGCCTGTCATTTCCTGGAGGGAGGAGTTGGAGTTATATAATTGATTGCCGAGGTGTCCGATCGGGATCGGTGATCGGTGAAGAACGAAAGCCCCCGGAATCGAGTCCTCCTGGAGAAGCAGATGTGATGGCCGCTGAACCAGCCACCTCCCTGGCGATGCATGGTCCATTGCACTCTGGAAAAACGAGTCTCGAAGAAGAAGGAACATCAATTTCATGTACGAAGGAAGCAAACAGGTTTAGTGATCTAGCTAGCTAGGTCCGCTCCCGTCCTTTTTGGTGTGCTGTTAATTTGAGGTAGGTGATGCCGGCATCCAAAGCAACGAAGAAATGGGGGTGCTGCCAGAATCTAATGATTGAAAGAATCCAAGGCAGAAGCGGCGCGAACTGTAGCCAGAGAGACCAACCGCCAAGACTGCCCTGTCGAGTCGAGACTCTTCCATACAGCTTCAATCAATTTCTTTGCGTCCGGTGGTAACAACCCTGCCCGTTACAGCGGTGACCCCACAAAACCCAGCTGCTACGGTTGCTCCTCTTTCTCGAAAGCATACATGTACCAAACGCAGTATCCGTCAACCGGCCACGGGCCATTTACCAAGAGCTTCATTGCAGCGAACAAGCTTTTACGGTGAGGTGGCAGAACAAGGAACTAACGCACGCACGATCAGTACAACAGTTACTGCGCCCCAAAAAGCAAGAGGCCAGCAGTGGTTCAGGAGAGTTCTGGTACAAGACGCGTCTGGCTTGGCTCCGTGGCGACCCACATCATCAAGCGCAGCCATAGGTTTCATGGAATGGGCTAGCCCACAACTACGAATACGAATACAGAAGCGAATGCAACGATGACTTCCTTTTATGCCTAACAACAATTTTCAATCCGATCGATTCCACCACACGGTGCCTAATCGCCATATTCTGCTTCCAACGCTGCCATGATAGCTTTTGATTCCGATTCGCAGCCATGAGCAACAGCAGAAGTGTCCTCAATCAGCTGCCTGTCCTTGCAGTTGTCTTGGATCAGGTTCAAGATTCGCGCCATTGTCTTTTGGAATTCGAGACGAGATTCAGCAGTGTTCATGTACTCTGCTTGCTTGTCTTGGCATGCCTCCTTCATGTCGCGATTCTTGTCCTTCGCACCTTCCAAATCGTCCAGCAGCTTCTCGTTCTTCTCGTGAACTTTCATCATGTCGTCGTTCTCGCCCTCGAAACTTCCACCGGAAGCTTCGTTCGCCTTCAACAACTTCTTGTTGTTCTTCTTGATCTCGTCGTACTTCTTCTTGATTTTGTCGTGTTCTTTCTTGATTTTCTTGTTCTCCTTGCGAAGCACTTCTACTTGCTTCAGGTTCGCGGCCAACTTCGTCTCGGCAGCGGCCTTCTGCTTCTTCGGCTCCATGATGAGAGCTTTCGCATCCTCGCCCGTTTTCTCCTTGAGTACTGCACTTTCCTTCTCAGCGGCGACCACACGTTCCTCGCACTCCTTGATCTTCGCTTCGGTATCCTCGTCGGATTTCTTTCCCTTGTCCGTGTACTCGCTACCGGCACTAGCAACCTTGTCGATCTCCTTCTGGAATTCAGCATCACGCGCTGCCTTCTCGGCTGCCGCCTTGTCAGCTAGTGCCCTGGCCTCCGCTTCTGCCTTCTCCTTTGCAAGACGCTCTGCCTCCTTTGCAGAATTCAACATCTTCGCGAACTTCTTGCGAACAACGTAACCACGAGTAATCTTCTGAATAGGGATGCAATGCACCTCCAAACCAGCAGCGCGATTCGCCTCCAAATACTCAAGAGCACCAGAACGGAAGTAGGTTTTGGTCTTTCCAACGGCAAAAGCAACCTTGTCACCCTCTGCCTTCTCTTTGAGCGCACAGGTCATCATTGCAAAACACTCATCCTTGAGATCACTGGATGCCGCTGGATATGCGGCCTTGTCCCAGAAACCAGAGAACCGAAGGCGGACAGTATCATTTGGCAGCTTATTGGGGAAAGCAGAACGAGAGATGGTCACAGCAGCGACAACACCAGCACAACGGAGTTGTTCCACAGTTCCAATGTGTTCCATCTTGACCGGCACCTTCGCTTTGTTGGGCTTGAGACAACGGATGTAACGGGATTGGGTCTTGCGAAGACTGCCCATCAATGAGGCCAATTGTGTCTTGTACTTGGCCCAGATGGTGGAACCCACAATGTTACTCTTCTGGCGCTTTGGGGCCTTGCCAGCATCAGCAGCAGGGGCAGGCTTGTGGGCAACAATAAAGTTGCTGGACTTCATCATGGCATCTTCCAAATCCGTGGGTAGAGTATCTTGGTTTCTCTCAACAAAGAATTGGGCGCTGTACATGACCTTTCCTGCATAGTGATGGATACCAAATCCCATACGATCCATGTTGTTCACCAGCAAACAAGGAGACTTTTTGTTGGCACCAAGAGCCTTCTGGACAAAGGCTTCATCACTACCCTTGGGACGGACACACTCCTCATTCAACATGGCACACAGACCAGTACGGCCCTCAATCAGATCCAACACATCTGTGTTATCATCAAAGGTGATCTCAGCAAGCTCAATTCCCTCGGCCTCATACTCAAGCTGGACAGAGCGGAAGATATCTTCAGTGAACTTCTGCTGAAGCTTCTCATTAGCGTAGTTGATACACAGCTGCTCAAAACGATTGATGACAAAGGACTCAAAGCCAAAGATATCCAACAAACCAATGATACCGAATTCACCAGGATCCTGGCCATCAGCACGGCTGTAGTTGTTCTCCGCCTTGGTGGCCTCATTGATACCTTCAACAAGCCAAAGGAACAGTTTTCCATAGACCTCCTTGGCAAACGCATCGCAGGAATTCTTGGCAGTCTCAGCATTCAGTGGGACCTTGTAGGTCTCATTTCTTGTCTTCATCGTACGTTCCGTGAAAGCCAAGTTCAACTCAGGCTCCGCGACACCAAGAATATCAGAAAGTCCCGCCAAAACATCCTTCGAAGTACACTCGGATTTATCAGCATCACCACCAAGTGCTCCAAACGCCAAGTTACCACATTGCAAGACAGCTGTGATGGCCCGCATCAGAGCTATGAGCTTATCACCACCAAGGTTGATGAGGCTCAAAGTCTCACAGGTTCCTTCAAACCACTCGGCATCCGTTCTCTTCTCAATCTTGGTTGTTGATGTGGCTCCAACATACTTGAATGAATCAAAGGTGGATCCCTTCAGGCCAGACCAGAAGCTAGCCTTTTGGTCATCTGGGGCAGCCAGGATCTGGTAGAAGACGTGGTAGGTACGCTCCGGCTCGGTGTGACCAGTGACACGATTCTTCTCCAAAAGGTAGGCTTCACACTTCGACCCACCCAAGTGGCATCTTGACTTGGTACGATCAATATTGCCAGGTACAATCTCAAGGCAATCGAATTGCAGCTGGGTGTATTTTCCGAATCGAGAAGAGTTGTCATTACGGGTAGTCTTGGCATTACCAAAAGTCTCCAAAAGAGGGTTGGATTGAAGGACACGGTTCACGACTGGATCCTCAAACTTCTCTTCGGGATTGCTGCTGGCTTCCACGGGTCCACGTTGGACAGAGGCCATGTGATTCATGGCAATCTTGACTGTCTCTGTTTTTCCAGCTCCTGATTCTCCGGACACAAGAATGGACTGATCCGTTTGGTAGAAAGCCAAGCCCTTGTAACAGAGAGAAGAGGTCTCGTACACATGTGGGTCAACAAATGTTCGAGGATCAGTTTCTCCAGAGTCAGTCCAGACCAGTTTGTTGGAGTACCTGGTCCTGACAGCATCAGTGTAGATCTCAGTGAACCACTGGAAGGGGTTAATGGCGATGACAATATCTCCAGTTCGTGTGTATGGCTTTCCATCCCTGTGACGGCGCTTCAAATTGTAAAGAATACCGGCCTAAGGAACAAAAGAGATTATTAATAGCCACAAAAGTGTAAGATACTGCACATTAAAAACCTCCGAAAAGAAAGACCCTTCTTCCCACGGACGTCATTCTTACCTCATGCAAGTAGGGAAGTTCCACCATATCCGGGATTTCGATAAGCATACCCTGTCCGTCAACATTCTGAAGGGGCAACACATTTCCAACGTATCCCTTCAGGTCAACCTTTTCTTCCGTCTTTTTCCCACGGCAACCGTCACTATCGATGGATTGCTCGTCCTTGAATGCCGGAATCTGGACCGTCGCCTTTTTGCCGTCCGTGTCGGTCTGGATAGCCGGCACCCAAGCATACTCCTTGGACCTGACGTACACAAACGATTGCTTTCCCATCGTGAAGCTTCTTTCTTTCTCGCAACAACTACGCTACTGCTGATACCGTTGCCCTTGTTCGAGACAACAAAGTACCAAATTCTGAACTGAGAAAAAAGGATCGGTTGTCGATGAAGGGTTGCTGTTGTTGACGTTCCTCAAAAGATTTCCTGCAGTTTTCTAGTCTTCTTGCCCCAGCAAGGGACTGTCAGGATACGGTGTGCCGGCGCGGAATTCTACGACAAAGATACTACCAGGCGCTACGTACCCTAAGCCCTCCTATGACTGGCACGGATGACTGCATGAATTGTCTCACTTCCCAGAAGGGATGGCTGTCACTACTCACCTTCGTTTCTTTTGCTTCCCATGCTTCGGCTCCTGCTAAGGAGGATCCATTCACTTTTAAAAGGGATTGACGTTCGCGTGTGCTTGATGACCAAGATAAGCCAAATAGAATGCTTTGCACCACTTTGACCGGTCAGGTCCTGGGAAAGGCTGGGATACCGGGACTGGTACGTACTTGCTTGGGACCGTGACTGGTGCGTGTCGGATGGATGCGAATGAAGTCTACTAGCTAGTAGCTAGACTAGCTAGTATTGAGATGTTTCCAAGTACCGGTACGGGACTTATCAAGGAGATATAATATCTAACCTATACCTACCGATGCATAGTTTCTGGAACGGCGCTGTTGATGCGGCCTGGACCGTCCGACGGTTTTTGTTCAGGTTTAAAAACTGCTCAAATCGTGGTTCTCGTTAAGGGAATGTTAAGGGAATGTTGAAGCTTTAAGGGAATGTTAAGGGAATGTTGAGGATTTAAGGGAATGTTTTAAGGGAATGTTTATTTAAGGGAATGTTCATTTTTTTTAGGGAATGTTCTATGGGGTTTACATGAAGGCTTAGAGGAATGTTTCGAAGCCTTAAGGGAATGTTGTTAAGGGAATGTTGATTTAAGGGAATGTTAAGGGAATGTTGAGGATTTAAGGGAATGTTTTAAGGGAATGTTTAAGGGAATGTTTCCACTGCGATATTTTAAGTTTTTTTAAAACCTGAGAGAAAACCGTCGGACGGTCCAGAGGAATTCCTCTAGTGTACCTCGGAACTCATGTTGTACTTTTCTATTCCGGAACAGTACCGTATCTCACCATCCTTTTCAAGAGAAAGGGAATCAGCCGATCATTGTGAACCCAATGGAGTTAATTGTCGATCCTACAGCTCGGACCATGTTTGTCTACTCCTATGCATACATCGTAGCTTGCCACCTCCAACCAGCATTCCCCAACCGTGACTGAATGAGACAACCAAGAAGAGCGCTGGAGACCCAACCACGAGTGAAAACACTCGAGGCACGCACCGCCCCCTCCCTTCACTCTCTTGCCCGGTGGTACAATAATAGAACCTCCCATCTGGTGCTACCGGGAAAAAATGGTGCTAATTGATATGTTAACATCGGCTCACTCGATGGGATGGTGAGCTTACTTTCTTTGCCGGGTCGGACGTGCCACATGGCATCAATTTCCATGGCTTCAATTTCGCATAGCTCATTCTTTCAAACTTTCAGCATTTTTTTTTAAGACAATAGATGCAATCTACTTGAACGATGAAGTTTGATGTATTTGCCATCAGGGCTTTGCAGACAGGAGCGAAGTACTGCTAAATAATTACTTAGGCTTTACTGGGTTTGCTTGTTTGGATAGGTGGAAGCAAAGAGAAAGATCCCAACAATTTGATATCATTGTACCCACGACGACTGGATGACCAGACCACAACATGTCAGCGAGAATTGTCTATCTTACTCACCTCTTACTCACCAGGCCCTCGAAAGAGACCGCAAATTGCTTGATACGCTTCAAATCCGAGGGGAGCGCACCGTATGCATGGCCTTCCTTGTTTTTTGCGTAGTTCAGCTGATTCGGTCCAAAACCCTCAGCGTTCCCAGTAACATATATCAAATACAAAGGTGATTCACCAGTCTTGAAGCCAGGAACAAGGTCGCCCATCTTCTGATCAATCGCTTTCAGGGTCCCGCTGTAAGCCTTCTTGTGCGTGTTCCCAATCGCCATTTGAAACATGAGGCCAATGATCGGAGCGTCGACATCATCGTCATCGTCGTCTGCTTGTTTCCAGGGAGCCCCCTTTACCACCGCTAGCGAATCTACAGTCGGGAACATCTTATGGGTGGGCAAACAGTAGTCACCAACGTCCATCCTCAATAAGTCCGTCATTGCTGCGTCCGCCAATCGACGTGTGGTACCACTAAATTCCTTGAGTTTCTTCCATTCTCCATCCTTGTTTGTGGCTCTAGGCTGTGTGAGCTCCCTGACAAGGATGTTCCCTGGCTGCTTCACCGCACGATGCCAAAGGCGCTCAGCCAAAATCCCCCGTGCTCCTGCTATGTCCACAGCAACCCTTCCCGATGTTGCTTCCAACCAGATTCTTTCTTCGAGTTGCTTCTTGTCAATCGGTGCATCAATCATGGCGTATGCAATTGTATCGGAAGCAAACTGACGACCTGTACGCTCGAATTCATTGTTGGCAAGAATGTGCACCAGAATACTGGACATCGTTGGGTTGGCAGCGTTAGGATCAATTATCCCTTCTGCTCCCGCGGAAAATGCCTCGTCAACCTTTGCCAGCGCCGCCTTTGGGTCATTGAACAGTAGCCTCGCCGACCCACCAAATTGGTCAAAACGCCTTTTGATTTCCTCTTCTAGGATTGGTGGCGTGGATAGTTTAGCGATACCATACGCTTCCTTCAAATCCAACGGCCCCATGTAGAGTTTTTTTTTAGAGAGTTGTGTTGTTGTTGTTGTTGTTGTTGTTGTTGTTGTTGTTGTTGTTGTTGTTGTTGTTGTTGTTGTTGTTGTTGTTGTTGTGCAATACACGGCTCTTAGCCTTATTCGCGACTCGATCCTAGATAGGGTTTGAGTTCGACTCATGACGTAGTCCTTCGCAAATAGTCATTGAGACAGGGTTCTCGATGACCGCTCTAGTCATACTAGGTCAGTGATGACATCGTGCTAGATATTTAGCCAGCGTGGAGTACTTCCACGCTACTAGATCAATGCTAGACGAATCTTCCACGCGTTCCGGTTTTGGATCGTGGAGTAGGTAGGATTGCTACCGCAACCTACACTATCACATGCACACACTTTATAGTCTCCCGCGGGAGTTCAGATCTACGATCCTTTGATTGTGATCTCTTTCGTTGATTAGTTTTCATAGCTTTCTAATCTCTCTCATAACTTTCATTCTCTCAAACTCAAAACACTCAAAAGATCTTTACACTAGCTTTTAGCGTAGTGCATTTTGTTAACAAACACAATAGCTTTCAGCTACCCTCAACCTATTCCTTCACCATGAAGATTGCTCAAGGAAAGCATGCGTTCACCAACTTCGAGAAACAGTTGCGTGACAAACCCATTCTTTTCCTCTCGTCGACAATGACGAAGACGCCGAGATCGACGATTCTCGTGCAACCACCTACAAACTTCGCACCGTTCCTGCAGATGCAAACAGTGCCAAATACACCTTCAAGGTAGCCATCATCAATGGTTCCAACACTCCACATCAGACCATCAAGTGGGCTACGAATATGGAGAAGGTCTTCGTTGGACTCAACCTTGCTTCCGACGACAAACTCGCCTTCTCAAGGAGATGACTTCCAGCTCTGCGAGAGTGCCTACGAAGCTGGGTGTGCAGGCCATCTGCCGTGCGTCATAACGCCCTACGACAAATTGCTGTGAATGCAATTGCTCACGCGATGTGACTTCTGGAGAAACCGAAGTCCAATTCCAAGCTCGTGTCCAAGCTGCATGGGACGGTGCAGCAGAACCTGCTCTAAGCAATGCTGACATCACCTTGGAATCAACCGGTTATGAAGCAGCCTGTCCTTACAAGGCTCTCGAAAAACAGAAACGCTTCATGGATGAATTCATCGACATCATCTGTCATGGCATTCCTCGTTCCTGGATGCGCAAGATGGACGAACACGACTTCGATCCTTTCACTGCCGAGATGACAGCTCTCATTGGATTCTGTGAGCACATGGAATCCGCTGAAGACTTTGACAAAGGCAGTGATGCCAAGCAAGCTCCTTCGAAGAAGAACAACAGCAAGAAGTACAAGTCTACTCGCAACAACGACCATTCTTCCAAGACGAAGAAAAGTGGTGTGATTACCAGAGTCCAGCACTCACAATTGCTGATTGCATGACTCTGAGAAACTCAAAGCCAAGTCCTCGTTGACAACGATGCAAGCCAGCGTACAACAAGAACAAGACTTGGAAACGCAAGTTTGACGATGCCAAGTCCTACACCAAGAGGAACTTTCTGTCCTTATGAAGAAAGTCTCCAACGCTGCGGTCAAGCGGATCGCAAGAAGAAAAGCGAATGCAACCATGTTGCCAAACGCAAGTCAGACACTCTGACAACGAGGATGACTCCTCTGCGGTCCCTCAACATGATGACAAGAAAATGGCTGCAGTCACAAGGCTCTTGCCGACTTCGACTTCAATCATTTAGATGGAGAGATCTCCGTCTGAGGATTAGGCCAGGTGATGATTCAACGGAACCATGTTCCGATTTCTCATACCTATGATGAAGATATCTCACTAACTAGTAAACAAGATTTTTTGCAATAAGAAGTCTACGAGCAAATTAGATAATTGCTAGAAACTGCTCAACTAGAATCTGACGATCTTTCACCATTGTTAACCTCGTCCGGTGCCAACCACCTCGTAAACGTCGCAAGACAAGAGACCTCAAAACTATCGTCTATGTTAGATTTAACAGATGAGAAAAAGGGAAACAAAAACCCGTTAACTCCGTTGCTTACTGGATACAGGAGCATCCGGAACCCTTGATTACCAAATTCATGCTAAGAGATTAAGCAGAAGGATCATGGGGGCGTCCAAACACTATGGACTACCCCTGTAAAGGAATTAAACCCAGCACGAAGTGTAAGGTGCACTTATGACTCCTGAGTTCCACAATGATAGAATTATCGAATGGAACTTGCTCGCCACCAAGAACTTGTGGGGGTTATGACATGATCATAGGTCGAGACATTCTCTCGATCTAAGAATCAAGTTCGATTTCACTACCATGTCAGTGAAGTGGAATAGCACATCTTTCCCTATGAAAGATAGCTACCAACGAAGAAAGGAATTCTTCATCCCTGATCCAAAGCTGCGCACGTTGCAGATCGTCTCAAGAGGACCCTTGACGCGAAATACGAACGACCTGACTTAAGGCAGATATGCCAGAGTCAAACCAGGTAAATAAGAAGAGCAGGAACCGCTCATGCCTTATTGACCAAGTGCTCCGACCAATTCGAAGGTACTTTAGGAAAGCGACAAATGGACGACTACGAAGTAGAACTTCGTCCTGACGCTAAACCCTATCACGCTAGGCTTATCCTACTCCACGTGTCCATACCAACACTCTTAGACAGAGGTCGGACGTCTCTGCGACGCAGGAGCACTTAAGAAGGTAAACTGTTCCGATGGACGGCACCAACATTTATCATCCCCAAAAAGAATGGATCTATACGGTCATCTCTGACGTCCGGGAACTGAACAAAAGGATGAGCAAAAACCTTGTCCGATCCCAAGGATACAAGACATGCTACTGAATCTAGACGGATTCAGGAAATACGAGATCTCTCT